TTTTTTTTCAACGTTTATTTATTTTTGGGACAGAGAGAGACAGAGCATGAACAGGGGAGGGGCAGAGAGAGAGGAAGACACAGAATCGGAAACAGGCTCCAGGCTCTGAGCCATCAGCCCAGAGCCTGACGCGGGGCTCGAACTCACGGACCGCGAGATCGTGACCTGGCTGAAGTCGGACGCTTAGCCGGCTGCGCCACCCAGGCGCCCCTGGAGATACCTTTTCAAGAATGCATGAGTTGGCTTAAACAAGGTTCATTTGTCCTTCTGAGTTAGAGTATAACTCAAATGCCACATACCCCCTTACTTGCTAGTTTTGGGTCCTCGAAACCTGTCTCTGTGTTTGCAACATACTTGGCTTGCTCAATTCAAAACTTCTAATGCCCGCTCCTCCCAAAGAATCTACTCATAGAAAGTGTTATGAGAAATGTAGACTTTACTGAATATTTCATAGAGGAGGCCGAAGAGGAGGTTAACATACTATGCTGCTCAGCAAATGACTTAAATTTTTTCCCTAGCTATTTTGTTTTTCCAATTCTTTCTCATCCATACCAACAAGACTGGGTCTTTTTTTTTCTTTCTTTCTTCTTTTACACTTTTTTCTAGTCTTTCTCTGACAAATGCACCCGACTTCCTACATTTTTCTTTTCCCTCCTCTTTTTTTGAGAAAAATGCAAATTTTGCTCCAGTCTTTTGCATGGCAGTTAAGGGTCCCTTTTTTCTTCTGAAGCATAAATTCTGAGGATTTATACTTCAAGCTGAATGGTCCTTCTTTCAAACAGATAAGGTGCTCCTTGGAAATGATGGATGGATGTAAAGGTAGGTTGATGGAGCTAGAGAAATCTCATGGTTACCCAACTCAGGAGAGGAGTTTACCATTGTTCAGAAGTCCTTCTCACCATTTACAGGGCCATAATCATTTATCGACAACACTTTGGGGCCTTAATAACCCTTCACAGAAATGGTTCCCTAAGAGAGATCATGTGAGAAATGACGGCAGCTATTGCCTGACCAAATGGCTGCATCACCATGACCACTGCACACTGATGGAGCATTTGCAGAATGCACAGCCCTTCCCCACAAGAAACAAAAGGTGTCTGCTATTGACTTACTGTCAATCTTAACTTGAATGGAGTCAAGCCTGGTCAGGTGGTTTTCCAAATACCAGGAGGCCTCTTAGATTCAGGATGGTCAGTTGGGCAGTCCTTTCTTTTATACATTTTAGATCCCACTGTTCACATCATTTGGCAAGGTACCATGAGTCTTGTCCCCAAATTCTGACTGTGCTGAGGTGGCATGCAGCCAGATACTACTAGTATCATTGGATTTATATTGGTGTGAGGGCCTTTCCTTTGGTTACGGGGCTTCTAGAACACTGCTTGGGATCTTAGTTCACAGGTCTGGGATGAGAGATCCTGGTCTTCTGAGATGGTAGAGATTTTGGATAGATTCAAATCCAGCCCCTTCACTTCTCAGACATGGATCCAGAGTTCCAGGGAGGGGAAAGGAATAGCTCCAGGTCATACAGTGAGTTAGTTATTGGGCCAGGGCATGAATCCATCCCTTCTGATACCTATGTGGGACTTTTCCCACCACACTGCCTTGCTTCCCTGCCTTCTATTTGAAAGATACTTCATTCAAAACTGTTCTTTTTTTTTTTTTTTTTTTTTTTTTTTTTTTTTTTTTTTTTTTTTTTTTTAACCCTGGAGCTGTATCTTCCCAAGAGACAAGAAGGAGAAGCGTGTTATTTAATACCCTTTGTGGTTTTAGTCTTGGTCTTGAGTTTTCTTTTTGCCCAAGTGTTTGATGGATGAATACTGTATGGTAGAGAGTTGCTTTCTTCCTGAAGGCCAGGAGAAATGGTTCAGTCTAAACTACTATATAAGAAGATGGACAACACATTCTCAAGAGGAAAGGTGTTTGTATCCACATACTGGAATTTATCCACTTTGACTGATATGGTGGTATTGACCTGCAGATGCTCCAGCAAGAACTGAGAGAGATTTTGGTATATGTTTTTGTTTTGCACTCCAGATTCACACACTGTCACCAGCGCCTGCTTTTTGACATCTTTGTTGATGAGAAGCTCCAACTTTAGGTCAACAGAATGTTCTGGGCATTTCACGAGAAATTGCAGTTGGCAAATGATGAAGTACCAACCTGGGAACTGGATTACCAGATTCCCATCCTGATAGCTGACTCCATGGACAATGCCATCTTTGTTCCAAGACAACTTGGATTTGTTTATATGCTTTGACACTAGAAAGAGAAGGATAAGAAGACAGAATTATTGGGCATATTTCAGGGGCAGATTGGAAATGTGAAGTTTTTATTCAAGGTTTCCCATTTGAGACTCGTGTTTTCTATAGTATTGCCTGCTGTTCCAACCATCTGGAATATCTTACATGTTACTCATCCTAGGCACTGCTTAACATTCAAGGGACAGGTGCAAAACACCCCTCTTCCTTTTTCTCTAATGCTTAAAGCTGAAGGGTCAGAACATACATGGTAATGGACTGCTACCTCTTATAGAATCATTTTCCACTTAATTATATATTATATTATATTACATTATATTATTATTATTATTACTATCTTTCCCTCTTGAGACTGTGAGCTCTTGTACTGTATTCCCCCATAAGTTCTGGACCATCATGTTGATTTATTCAATCAATCAATGAATGCTTCATCAATAAGGGAGTACTATTTGGTAGACATTGCATAAAGTGAGATATGATATTTAGTTTTTTTTCAATTAGTAACCAATTCAGGCATCAAGTGTCCAGCAGAACTGCAGTCTGTTGATTTTCATATTAAGATGTGTCCTTAACAACTCATTGTCTGAATTTTTTAATGTATTCCTCTTTTTAAAAGGGCAGCCAAACATAATTGTATAGATCACACAAGTGTACAATAAGGGACTCTTCCCAGCTGGGATTTATAGAAAAGCAGACGATGTGGCAGACATTTTCATGTGGAAAGCCAAGTCTCTCTGAGTCCTAACAAGTGAAAATCAGCACTGATTAGTCAGGGTGCCTTTCAGAACTGGAAAGCTGGCATTCGTTTTAATTGCCTTCCCTTTAGACCTCATTGCGATTCAACTGAAGAGTGAGAACTAATCTAGCTGCAAAATTGAATTTTTAAAATGGGCAGAATGGCTATTCAGAGAATCTTGGCCATCCTCTCCATATCTCAGCTTTCACAGTGTAAGTGCCTTGTATTGTTTCCTTTATAAGGGGCCTCTTACCTGATGCATGCTGCAATATGCAAATAGGCTATGTGCCAGCATGTTCATTAAGCTGTCAATCGGGGGACAAGGCAATTTTGTGGTTCCCTTGTGAATAACTTGACAGAGGCAAAGACTAAAAGCCTGCTTCTCTTTCATGAGGAAAAGTACTGTACACTTGGCCCAAAACTTGTATGTGGCTGAATAAAGAGGGACCATGGGGGTGGGACACAAATGCCTTCAGAGGCCAGGTTGGTAATGCAAAATTGGGAAGGAGGCTGAGGAAGGAAGAGTCTTGTGAGTTCTCCCCTTTACCCCTAAGGCCTTTTTAAAATATATATTTTTAAATGTACATTTATTTATTTGAGAGAGAGAGCGAGCGAGCAGGGGAGGGGCAGATGGGGAGGGAGAGAGAGAATCCCAGGTAGGCTCTGCACTGTCAGTGCATAGAGCCCGATACAGGGCTCGACCTCATGAATAGTGAGATCATGACCTGAGTGGAGGCCAAGAGTCAGATGCTCAACTGACTGAGCCACCCAGGTTCCCCTCCCCCTAAGGCTTTTAAAATCAAATTATAAAAAATAGCATGCAGGCTATAGACCATATCTGCAGGTCATATTTAGCCATGGGCTTCTACTTGTGACCTCTGGGTTAGAGGTTTCAGAAAGGCCACAGGAAGTGGCCCTCATATGGATGGAGTTCCTAGATTCAGTTACTGACCTTGGAGGTAGGCCCATGACTTCTTGAATGGAGCCTTTTCCAGTATACATGAGATGTCTTCTGAGCAATTTCCTAAAAATAAGGAGATCACACATTAAATGTCTTACTCTACTCTGGGAACTGGAGACACCGGATCTTTTTTCATGACCCTTTGATAGAGACAATTAGTATTCTGTTTCCATTTGGAGGTCTAAAAGGAAACCTGTTTATTTATCATTTTTGCCACCAAGTATCTTAAGGTTATTTTCAATTGGTTGCTTCCACTTGGACATTTACAAAAGACTGGAAATTGGGGGAAGAAAACTAATATGACCTGAATTCCCCTAAGTGCCACGTGCCATTCCTGTCGGTTTACATACTTCCATTCACTTAATCTTTGCAGCAACTCTATTAGAGTGGTATTATTAAGTCCCTTTTACAGATGGAAAAAAGCCTAGGGACCAGACAGATTAAGCACATTGTCCCACATCACTCAGCCAGGCAGGGATGGTCACAATGATAAGACTGATAGTAATTACTGCTATCCTTCTTTTGAGAGTGCACCAGATACTGGTCTGTGTACTTTTATATATTTCTGCTGATGTAATTCTCAGAATAACTCTGCAAGATTGATCCTGATGCCTAGACATAGTCAATGATACAAGGTCAAGGAGGTTAGTGATAACGTTGAGATTTATCCCCATGTTTGATTCCAGAGACCAGGTTTCCTCCTCAAAATCATTTGCTGGACAGTGGCAATAAACACATTCTTGTGCTCAATTTTTTTTTTTTAAATTTTTTTTTTCAACGTTTATTTATTTTTGGGACAGAGAGAGACAGAGCATGAACGGGGGAGGGGCAGAGAGAGAGGGAGACACAGAATCGGAAACAGGCTCCAGGCTTCGAGCCATCAGCCCAGAGCCTGACGCGGGGCTCGAACTCATGGACCGCGAGATCGTGACCTGGCTGAAGTCGGACGCCTAACCCACTGCGCCACCCAGGCGCCCCTCTTGTGCTCAATTTTAAGAGGATATAGGATTAAAGAGATCTAAGCAGGAAGCCTGCTATCTGGAGTTTCCTTGGCAGGGGAAAATGACAGTGTTTATGTCATCCTGGTATTTAAGAAATAAAAATATTTTTAATATATTCACTGGTGATGCTGGCTTAGCAGCTTCTTATTATAGAAACTATTTTATATGCAAAGAACCAAGTTATACATTTCCTGCAATGACTCATGAATTCAACGTACTCTGTGTAAATTCCTTCTTGTCTTTGGATCTTGGTTTCCCATCTATAAATCTGGGAGATCTAAGACCTGACACTGACCTCTTTTTGATGGTGTCTCTGGAGTGACCATTCATTCTGTCCATCAGAGACTAGATAGCCATGGGCTGGTTCAGTTGAAGCAGTCATACCCTGATGTGTTTGCTCCCTGGATCTCTGATTGGTATCTGTTGGGCTCACAATCTTTCAGGTTCCCCTCTCTGCCCCAGGCTTGAGGAAATCCCTTCTGGCCTCCTCATTTCCCCATGGAGCCTTGGAAAAGTTGAAAGTTAAGTGAAGAGTTCCCTCTGCTGTCTGAACAAGCTCACTGCCAACAGCAACTCCCTCCTACCCTCACCCCTGCCACATCACCACAACCCCCAGAAAAGCAGGGAACAGTTTTCATCCTTGTCTGCCCTCAACCCATAAAGATGCTCTGGCCCAAAGGTCTCCTTGGTGATGAGGACTGGTAGGCCAGCTACCATTCTTTTGATCCCACCTCTTACCTGTTTCCACCACAGCCCACGCTCTTGAGGTGTTAGAATCAAAATTACAATGTGAGGCCTGCTTATTTTCTAATGAACTGTGAATGGTGTTAAGGGTCCCTCTGGCCAGTATGTGGAACATCAAGTCAGAAAAAGTTGCAGTGAGGCATACCTGACTGTGTCTCTTCTTTGCTTGAATCCCTTTCTGACTTTGCTGTGCCTGCAGGATCAGGGCCAAGATCCTCCACAGGAGTTCGTGGTTCCTAGCATTCTGTCCCTACTGCATTTTCCAGTCTCACACCCCACCTTCCCTCTTTCCCTCAGACTCTCAATCCCAGTAGCAGTAGTAGACAAAATAACAGCTAGTACAAAATGAGTGCTGGCTATTTTCCAGGTACTGTGCTAAGTGTGTTACATTCTGTCTTTCACTTACTTCTCGCCACCACCCCATGAGAAAGGTACTACAATGATTTCTGTCCCGCATACAAGGAAGCCAAGGCTTTAAAAGGTTAATGACTTGTTCACATTTGCACAGCTAGTCAGTGGTGGAGTGAGATTCAAACCTAGGCTGTCTGACTCTAACACCCAGGTAGATCGTTGATGACCGTACTGGTTAATTTGCCTCATCACCTGGAATCTCCCTTCACTGGAGTTTTACTCCTTATTTAATGCATAGCCTGGAAGTCATCTCTGACCTTCCCTGTTTGCCTATTTGCCTCCTCCATTAGACTGTGAACCCTCAGGGCAGAGACAGCTACTTATATATCCCCACTGCTCACCCCGAAGATGCTCTGTAAATGTTTGTTGAATTGAGTCATCTACTCTGTCCCTCTTACTTCCCTCCATGGATATCAGGTGAGTTCTGGCATGAGTGAGGTGAGTGGGGATGCTTGGCTTGCTTTCTCCCCTTGGGGCTGGAATACCAACCTCATTCTCCCATAGTTCTTCAGGTGAGCTTAGATTAAATGGGAGGATAGAGACTCATTAAGAGACTCATGCCCTGGGCTTGGGCTGAGGCCAACACACATCATGAGAATCAGCATTACAAAAACAGGCTCTGCTCATTGGTCAGAGGCCCCCTCACATCATGTCACTTGCGGTGGCATCTATCAGGGAAACTTCTGTAAACAAGTGGCTGGAGAAGTACAAGTCTGGGCTGGCCTCTCACACATGCACGTTCTGTTTTTCCTTTCCCCTTCAGTCTTTGTGTGTTTGGTTGGTTGACCTCAGCTGTAATTCTGAGAAACCCAAGGATGGAAAAAAAAACACACACACCTCATTCTGAAGCATTTGCATTTCCTGAAGTCAAAAGGCAAGGTGTAGTTTAGTTTTTCTTTACGAATCTTTTACATGGCTTCCAACAAAAGGAAAAACATAGGCAACCCTCTTCAAGATTGGCATTGCTGGAGCCACCTGAATAAGGGGACTGGGAACAGGACACTGGGGAAGCTGTTGGTGGAAGGGGATTTTGAATGTGGAGAGGAGCCCAGAGGAAGGCAGCTCTTGGCCTTTTACATCTGATAGGCTGTCAGCAGGAAGGCAGTGCAGCCTGCTCTGTGGGGGCCCAAACACTAAGGCTCCATGTGGAAGTTTGAAGAGATGATGCACTTGGCTAACAACAAACACTGTCCTTGTTCCTATTTCTCAGATAAGGCTATGGGAAGACTTTCTCTAAAGACACACACATCACATTGTAAATCACAGGGCTGGTAGCTCAAATATGTGACCAGTTAGTGCTGTTCAAAGACATGTTGGGCTGATTTGAGGGTCATGAGTGTCTTGTCAAGAGCCAGATGGACATTTCATTGGTCACCAGCCATGTGTCACCTTATGAGTCCATGATATGACTTTCTGTTTTGATTATGAAGACAAGAAGGAGTGACTTACAAACAGGTGGTGTTACCTGTAGTGGGAACCCTGTGATATCCCTGGAATTTTGAATGCTGAGAGAACATACCACTGTTTCATTTATTTCCTAGATGAATGTGATGTCTGGAGGGGTTTCGTGTGAAGAACTGACCACTCGGGTCGGAGAAATGAGAATTGTCTCTAAGTCATGGCTGAGTTGATGACCTGGGAGTTAGAATCTTGGAATTTCCTCTCTTTGGGCTCTACTGTCCTTAGCTAAGTGAAGAGCAGTATGGGTTTGATGATCTAGAAGTGCCCTTCTAGTTTATCCTTGCAAACTGTGTAGACTCTGCTACGCATGGTCAGGCTTGCTGTAGCAGGGAGAAATTCAGTCCCAGTTCTGGGTGTCTGTCTTTGTGGGCATGTTGCTCTACCCCATATAGGCAGCTATGTTCACACATTTAGATTTCCAAACACCTGCAGTGGTAGGTAGAACAGAACATTTCAGGTCTGGGTACAATCTTAAGTTATATACAGCCAGGATCTGTAAGGATTTGCATGGTTTGTAAAAATACAAGTTCCTTGAGAGGTCACTTGGTCCAGGCTTGGTAATCATACAATACATGTGTTCCCCAATGTCACTCCCATGGCACACTTGTCCTAGGTCACTCCATGAGTTAATTACAGAGGCATAACCAGAGCCTGAGCATCTTACTCCTTCTGTGGAGCATTCCCTCTTTCAAACAACTTAAGCTCTCTGTAAATTTTTCTGAAGACCAAGGCCTTTAGATGGGCAAGATTTATAAGCCCAAGCTTGGCCTCCTCCAGGATCATGGAACTTTTTTGGACATTGTTTGGAAGCCTGGAGAGAAGTAAGTGCCAATGAAACCCTCTGGGCTAGTTTCACAGAAGACAGAGCTAGGGAGGCAGAGATGTTGCTTAAGGTGGTTGAAAGGATCATGTTCTAGAAATCAGAATAATGGCAGCCTAAAGACTGGCCCACCCCCCTCCCCTTGAGATCTCAAAATGTCAGACTTGAAAGGGCCATTTGGTGCCAACTTAACCAAGACCCTAGTTCTATGACTGGGGACATTGAACCCAGAGGAACTGAGGGTCTGGCCCAAGATGTCACCATAGATTAGTGGCAGAGCTGAGTCCAGAGCATGTCTCCTTACTCCTAGTCTAGGGCTATGTCCTCGGTTTATATGTCTTTCCATGGAAGAGTGAGGGTTAAATGTAGGAAGAAGTGGGTTTGCAGCCACTATACACACTGGACTAAAACTGAGGAAAAAGCTGGAGGTACTGGGAAAAGAGCACTGATGAGCTCCCTCTTGCAGAGGAATGCCAACAGGTGCCTTCAGGCCCATGTGCTGAACCCTGCCAAGCCATAAGTCAAAAGTCTTGAGGAGGCTTCCATCAAGATGTAACAAAGCCCAAGGTGGCAAAAGAAACCATGCCAACCATTCCAGCCAGATGGTATGTGGTCAGAGTGCCAGG